GCCTCTTGTGGTCCTCTGAGGGCCCCGTGGCAGCCCCCTGGGGGCGAAAAGATTTTGCCTTCTCATGCTCATGCACTGCACTACCTTTTTGCCCGGAAAGCTCGATTCAGAACCGGGCTGCGAGCAGCCACACATGATAGCTCCGACCGCATAGCGGAAAAATACCCTGCGCCACAGGCGAGGGCGGAGCTCATCCAAGACCACCCAACTTTAGCAGGAGAGGTAGCGAGTCAGCGACTAAGCTCGCGCATGCGACTGCGATTCTACCTCCGCCAGCATCTGGCGGGCAAGGTACAGGCAGAGATGTTTGGTATCACTGCTCAGTTGAAGGTCAGCAAGCTGTGCTGCGCCATCTGTGATGTAAATGCGTGCAGTTCTACCGCTCTCCCAGCGGCCGCGCTCGCATGTGAGGTCCATGCTGCCTTGCGTGCGGAAGTAGTGCGTGGCCCCTCCACGCCGGAAGCTGTACGGGCGGAAACCAAATTCGCCGGCACCGATGTCTGTAAGAAACTGCCGGAACAGATCACGAAGTCTAGAGTCGGATACTTCTGAAATGCGGTCCCCGGGCAAAATGCGTCGGATACGTACTCGAAGTAGAGCTGTGACGGCGGGGTCGTGAATCGACACACAGTCGCGCAAGCCCTTTTTAGTAAATGGTAATGTGACTACTGATGTTGCGGTACCGAGTGTGATGTCTTTGGCATGAAGCTGGAAGGCCTCCATGGTGCGCAACATGCAATGCCACGCAAGAGCGAACACGCAGGCGGCACCTGGAAGATCAGCAGCATATGCGAGCCCGACAAGACCCCATGCCAAGGTCGAAGGTAAAGGTGGCGCCTGGACGGGCAGCTCGCGCGTGCGCCATGCTTTTAGCATCAACCAGCTGCCGTTGAGGTTTTTCCGCAATGCCGGAATGCGGGCATGAAGGCCGGATATAATATCACCGACAGTGGAAATGTATTCCCCATCTGTCCAACAAATTGCATCATCTATGCCAGCCTTGGTGGCCGGGAGCTCTCCGCCAGAGGACCGGAGGTAGTAGAAAAACAAGCTCAATGCCTGATCATATCGTCTTTCAGCCTTTTCGCTTCTGCGAACCAAATGCGTGCCTTGACGCTCACGGCGCCGTTCTTCGCGAGTCGGGCGGGCCAGTATGGCCGCCCTGGGCTTACCCTTTGTCATGATACCTCGACGGGGCGTCGGCAGGGTTGAACTCGCTTCGAGTCCATCCTGCGGCTGCCCGGAATTCACAAGCTATGGTGAGGCCTGCCACTCTACGAAGAACAGCGTTGAGCCTCCTACTGGAGGATCTGCCCTTGGCTTGGACTGAGACGGTGACCTGGGAATCAGAGATACTCAGGAAACGGGTCCGATGAAGCCAATGTGAGCGTGCACGCAATCTGAGGTAATTGAAATAAGCTCGCAACTCTAAGACATTGATATGTTGAGGCAACTTGTATTTATAACGCTGTACTACCTTCCACTTCCAATAAAGAGTGTTGATAGGCTGGCGCGGCCACGCGTGCGCACGGTAAAACTGACCCAGGTTCAGCCTGACAGTCCCCCGGACATCGCAATTTCTGAAAAACTCATAGACGAGAGCATGCTCCCGCCCCCACCCCTCAGGCAGCGGGGGCATGGCCTCAGGCATAGGAGACGTGCTCGGCGGGCGCGCCATCTTCAAGACAGCTGCCGCCATCTTGACGTGGGCCGCGTCGTACACAGACCAACGCTCAAAAATCTCGTCCATGGTGAGCGCCTCGGAATTCTCGGCCGGCCTGGGCGCGCCCTGCAGCAGCCGGGCGATGAGGAAGGGGTACGCGTCGCGTTCAACGAGCAGCGCGAGCCGCGCATGGTCGAGGCTGTCGAACCGGGCGCTCCTGGACCGCTTGCCCATCGCATCCGAAGTGTGGTTCGTGGCGAAGCCGCGCAACCTCTTTTCCTCGGCCAGCGCGAGGGGACGTAAGCCGGCTGGAATGTCGACCTGGTCAGGCCGAGCGCGAAGGAGGTTCCCCCGCAGGCGCGTCTTTTGGAGGAGGCCCCTGTGGTCGAGCATCGGCCAGGCCCCGTCCTGGAAGATGCGGTCGATGCTGGCCTTCTCGTCTGGTGTGATGGTGATGTCAACGTAGCCGTACGCATGCTGGTAACTGCAACGCATGTCTCGCCCAGACGTGGGCGCGTAACCCAAAGGCCAATATAAATGCAGAGAGCGGTAGTAGGTGACCTGGTCAGTGCACGCGCGGTGCGGGCACGAACCCAGTGCTTCTCCAAAAGCTCGGCGTCGGCTGTCGTCGGAAGCAGCGGAGCCCTGGACGAGGCCGCTCAGCAGCCACGGCCCTTCTCTCAGCCTCCCAAGGCAACTGAGGACCGAGCCGACGTAGTGGGTGCAATTTCCGAGGCAACCGCAAAAGAGAACCCCTAGGCCGCGGTATCTGGCGGCCCAGCGGGCCAGCAGAGCACGATCCAAGTCGTCGGGGTGGGCGTGCTCCTCGTCCACGGGGAATGCGCGGCGGATCACGCGCCGGGCATCGGCCGAATCCTCCACGACGACGAAAGCGCGGATCCACATGCCTCCAAGCTCGGCCCCAACGCGAAACGAGCCGCCCGGGTCCCCAAATGAGATAAGAAGCAAGCCTTGGGGGTAGCGCGGCTCGATGGTGAGCGGCGGGCACCAGGTGGTCGCGCCATCTGCCCCGAGTGCGGCCTCCGCGAAACTGGCTCCAGAGTGGCTCAGGTGGGTGCCCACGCAGGCTCCGCCGCCCTGCTCCGAAGCGTCGAAGCAAATCGGCCTTGGGTCAATGGACGCCCGGAGGTCGACGACACACGCTGGTAACAAGCAGGCGGCGTGCAAGAGTTCGTCCTCAGGCTCCCGCGTGAGCCGCCGGAGGCCAGCGATCCCCGATAAGGTGTAGGACGAACTCAAACAGCTGAATACGGGCCGCTGCCACCGACACATGTGGGCGATATGGCCCAACGTCTCTTGAAGGAGCGTCTGGCCAACGAACTCTTGACTGAGAACGTAAAGGACGAGGTGCGTCACGAACGTGACGCGCTTGGGATCCGGCCCCTGCATGCCGAGTTCGCCGTCCCAAAGGGCACCGAGTGAGCTCTTGACGGCCTCGGACTCGACCTCCTTGCCACCGGCTCGAAGGATCCCGTGATGCTCCCAAGCTCGTCGAACTGATTGTTGTTCCACACTCGGTCTGCCCCTGACCTCGAGATACGTCCTGGTAGGGCCTATGGTAAACTGGTCCCAGCTGTCCAAATACACATGGTACCACGAACGTAAACGCTGCTGAGGGCGCACTGGGAACGGATCGGAACCCCGGTGTTCAGGCAACGCAAGGTTCGCACCTGTCGGCGGCGGCGCCCCAGCTAAGAACCTACCTGCCGCCTGCATTGCCCGAACCGCCAACAGCCAGCCCATGGGGCAGACCGTCGTGCATACGTGGGTGGGCACATCCGAATCTCCGCCGACGCAGTGGGCGGGGACTTGTCTTTCGAACGTGAAGAGGCTGTGCCAGCAAGGTGGAACCGAGAACAAGTGGAAGGAACCCTTCTGGTCGTCTGATGAGACCCACAGGGTCTCGCCATCAAGTAAAACCACAGATGCCCATTGCCCCCCATCGGTAGATCAGAAACCTCGCCGAAATGCTCCATGATGTAGCTGTTCGACGGGATAAGGTTAACGATAAAACGCAACCCTGGCCCGCGTGAGGTGGGGGCGTCCTTAGGACGTACTACGCCGAAAGCGCCATTGAGGCAGAGACTGCCCTTAGGGGCGAATATGTCGTTCTCCGCGATTGCTCTGACCCCACCGCGCTTGTACAGCTCCCGGATGATCTCATGCCAGTCGGCATCGCTCGCGAAGACCCTCGCCCGAGGTGGGCGGGATGGCCATTCGCGCCTCGGCTTCAGCACGAGCGTGGGGTCCCTGAGCCACTGCTGCACGTCCGGCGGGACCACCGAATCCAATGCCACGCGGCCGACCGCCCCCTCAGGAGGCAACCCCTGGACCACCTGCTCAAGAGAGAGAAAGGGCATGGGGTCGCACGCTCGAAGCATCCGAATACTGGAGCTGATGAAGGCGCATGCACAACTTTAGCTCGATCGAGATTTCTGGATAGTATTCGACTCTTTCGTGATGCGCGTCAGGCGCCTGGCCACATTGGACCAGATAGTGTCGTGCTGCTTGCTGTACGTTTCCGGGCAGGCCAGAAGCCCATCCCGGAGCAGCCGAGGTCCACCCGCGAAAGAATAATTAATTCCAAGTGCGTGCAAAGGCGCCCAACCGCCAGAAGGAGTAGATGCAGACCGAGGTATAGGGAGGACGTCTGGGGACGCCTTGGGGAAGAAGTCGATGGCCCCCTCTCCTGCTGTAGTGAATGGGGCAACGTGCTGTCGGTAAGCATGCCGGGTCGCTGACACTGCAGCCAACAGAGGATCCAGCTCAGCCAGACCCCCTGCGCGCCGCGAAATGGCCTTCCCCAAAAGCTCCCCAACAGCTTCGAAACTAATAGGCTCAGCCAGGAGTTCAAACTCCTCACGAAGCTGCGTCCTCAGCTCGGCTCCTGGATCCGCGAAAAGGACTTCGAAGGCGCCCACAGGGCACCTCGAGAGCCCACAATCGCATGCCAGCCGCCTGGCACGAATACTCCGCATCCATGCGTCACACACCGCAGGTATCGAAAGTAATTCCAATATCCTCGCTTCCTGTCCAGCCCCATGCGCCTCCACGGGAACATGGCCTTGCCCTTCTCGCGGGCCTTCGATTTCGGGGTGGCGCCCGGAGCCGCAGCGCTGCCTGGGCGACCGCCCCCTGCTACCGCGCGCCGGGCGCTCGGGCCAGGAGTGCCAAAGCTCCCAGAGAGGGTGTTTGGAGCACCCGTGGCGGCCGCCCCCTCCGACGTAGTACCGGGAGGAAGTGTATGCCTCGAAGTGCCCCCTGGCCCAGGGGGCATCGCACCGGCAGGGGCGGATGCTGTGGAGGGCGGCTTGGATCAGCCGGCGCCCTTCCTGAGGTCCCTCTCCGACTTCTCCAGGCGGTGCGCCGAGACTGCCTCGCTCCTCGGGGTGAGCTGGGAATCCCCGGTTGGGATGAGCTCGAACCAACGCGCCACCGACCAGTTGTCGTCGACCAGGTAGCGCTCCAGGGCCTTCACCCGTTGCATGATGACGTCCCTGACCGACCCCAGCTCCCCTCGGAGCAGACAGTCGGCAGCCAGGGCCCAAGTTTCCAACTCGCGGGAATTCCGCAACCCCATCTTGGACTTCGAGTGGTGGTTGTAGATGATCTGGTGAAGGTAGGCCTGCACGATGGGACGGGCCAGGGCCGAGCTGGAGTCGTGAAGGTCGGAGGGCACCATGCCACCGAGGGTGCGCGACATCCGCTGCAGCGTGTCCCCGCTGAGCTTGCCTGGGTTCTTCTTCCAGACCGTTTGGATGTCGATGCGCTCCTGCGGAGCTCCGCTGCATGGTCCTCCGTATTCTTCCCCCGGCTCGTCCGAACCTACCTGGACGACGCGCCGACGGGCCGGATCTGGATCGGCAGGCTCATGAAGATCACGGCGGCCATCCGAACGAGAGGCACGGGCGTCCTCGCCCTTGGCGCGGGTCTCGGCGACCCGCTTGCTGAGGATGTCGTCGAGAGTCTGCCTCTTCGCCGGCCGCTCCGCGGCTGGTGCGGCGGTGGCGCCGCGCTTGCCCGAGATCTTCATGTACTTGTCCTTCAACCAATTCGCGCGCTTCCGGAGGTCGTCGGCCTCGAAATCGCCATCCAGCGACTTCTCGAGGGAGGTCAAATCAGCGACGAGATCGCCGCCCTCAGGGCGGTTCCCTCCCCGCTCAGTGTCACAGCGTTCCCCGCGACCACCGTTATCGGCCTGTCTGGGGTTGCCGTTCCGCCCCTGAGCCTTGGCGGCGCGGGCATTCGCAGCCTCGTCGTCCGCAGCGGTGCTGAGGAGGCCACCGGGTTTCCCCCTGGGCCCCCGTCCCCCGTCCGAGCCTGCCGCGGGAGCGGAGTCCGCCATGCGCAGGTGCTTCTTGGCCCAAGGGATCTGCTTGATTTCCTGGACGGTGACCGGGGCCCACTTGTCCACGTGGATGGTCTCCGGCCTCGGGTTGTACTGCTTTGCGTCAGGGAAGCTGGCGCGGCACGTGCGCGATGATGATACGCAGAGGTGCAACCATATCGGCTGCTTCTTCTTGGCGATGTTGTGGACGTAGTGTTCGTAGTAGCCGCCCTCGGAGGCAAGATGCTTGACGCTGATGGTCTTGCCGTCCCGGTTGTTCCGAACGACGGTCTCGATGCGGTACACGCTATGGCCTTGCGGCCTGCGCGCGTGGTCGCAATCCTTCGTGAGGATGTAACCCTCGTTGCTGTCGTCGTCCCAGGAATCGAGCCGCGACTCGCTGGGCTCATAGAAGTCGGTTTCATCGAACAAGCTGTGCTTGCCGGCCGCCATCGCGAGTGACGTCTGCAAGCCCACAGGGCGAGACGCCACGGGCCGCAGGCCTCAGACCTGCAGCCCCCAAAAGCGCGAGGCGGGCGGTGCGAGTGCGTAGCGGGGCTACCGCGATGGGTAATGCCAGCTTTGAGCCGCTACGCTAGGTACGTGCACTCGTGCATACGAATCGTCGGCAAAACGTTTGTCCTTGGACCACGATCTGGAATTTCAGTCCATGCTCCCCCTCTGCTTTTTTGGGGGCCGTGTCTATCTGGGGCCTCCGAGGCCGTCTCGGGCGCCCCTGGGGCCGTCAAAGAGCTCAGCCAGGCCGTCCCCGGGCCCTCCTGGGCCCGTCCTATAGGGCGGTGTTGGAGCCCTCCGGGGCCGTCGTGGAGCATTGGGAGCTGAAGCAGTCGAGGAGCCCCAGAGAGGCGAAAAGCCTTACTCCAGATTTCACAACAAAAGGGGGGTGGTCTGATTTGGGACGGGGTCAGATTTGAGCTGTCTTGGAGGGTTCCAGTGGGTCTGGGCAAAAAGCCGCCCTTCATGGCTTGTTTGGGGGGGTCTGGAATTGCCCGTCTGTGAGGGTTGTGACCCCCTCCCTCGTATGGCGAAATCTGGAGTAGCAAAATCAGTGATTGCTGCTTCTCGCGGCACTTGTCTGGTGCCCCGGGTGCCCTCCGGAGCCTGCCCGAGAAGGTCATGGCGCCTTCTTGACCCCTCAGGGGGGCTTCACGAGGCGGAGAAGTCTACATTTCTATCCATGCCGTTCCTCGGGAGGTGATTTTGGAGCCGTCTTGAGAGACTCGTGGGCCGTCTTGGGCGCCCCAGGGAACGTCATTGGACCTGGCTGGGCTTTTCCGCGGCCTTCTGGGGGCCTTCTGGGGGTCCTTCGTGCTCGTCCGGGGGCGGTGTCAGAGGCTTTGTAAGTCGTCGTGGAGTGTCAGGATGGGGAGAGGTTAGGGAATCGAGCTCTATACACCGACGCTTCTTCCGGCCCTACATTGGAATTTGCACTGGAGAGCGGATCCTGGTGTATACGGGGCCCTGATGTATACATGTTTCGTATAAAAATGTATACACCACACCACCCCAGCGTCGTCCTCGACCCTCAAGATGTCCTGAGATTGAAAAGCAGCCCGCCACTGGTAATGTATATGTTCCAGTTTCCGAGGATGGGTAGAACCAGGTGGTACAGAAAACATGAAAACATCTAAGCGAAATCACCGATGTTTGCCTCTCGGGGCGCTCGGCTGGGGCCCCGGACGCCCTCTGGAGTCTGCCCGGGGGGCCGTCCTGGCGCCTGTTGGAGGCCTTCAGGGACACGTCGTTAATTTCTAATCGTGCTCAATTCTAATTCTGCTCGTTTCTATTTCTTCCTGGCCCCCTAGTGGCCAGGAACAGGCCCAGGACAGAAGAATTAGAAGTGAAAGGATCTTGGCCCGAGCTTTCGAAGAATTAGAAATCAACAGTGTGGAACTCCCTGAGGCGAAAAACTCGAAATTTCGATTCACGACCCCCCCTCAGAAAGCCATCTTGGGGCCGTCTTGAGGGCCTCTTGGGCCGTCTCTGGCGCCCTTGGGGGGCGTCATGGAGCCCTGCCAGGCCGTCCCGGGGCCTTCCTGGGTGCCACTGGGCGCGTCCTGATGCGATGTCGGAGGCTTCGTTGGCCGTCGCGGAGTGTGAGAATGTCGACACAGAGAGGGCACCAAAAACACTGAAAAACCATAGCAACATCAATGATGTTTGCCTCTCGGGGTCCTCGTCTAGGGCCTCCGGCGCCCATTGAAGCTGGCCTGGAAGCCTTCTGAGGCCGTTCAGGGAGCATTTTCGGTGGTCTCAGGGTGTGCTAGACCACTTGCCGTCGCTCGGACGTCTATTTCCCGTGCATTTCTCAGTTTCGTGCGTGTTTTTTTTGCTCGATGGTCCAGGATGGTCCTCGATGGTTCTCGCCGAGAAAAATGCACACGACCGAGCGATGCCAAGACCAAATCTGGTAGACTGTCGTGCCCACTGGTGGGTTCACCGTGCGATCACGAGGCGACTTGGGCCGTTCCGAGCGGGCCCCTGGAGCCCCGATCCACCCATGTGTACCCGGGGTCCTGGTTTGGGGTCCGCCCGAGGCCTACTTATACACATATTGCACCACGACGATTGCGTCGCAGATATTGCGCACCACAGAGATTGCACAACATAGATTGCACATCGTCGATTGAACCATATCGATTGCACAGCATGCAGTGCAGAACATATAATGCTAGACACACACACACATTGTTTGGTCCCCCCGCTGACAAACATGACTCTTTTGATATGCACACAGGCGAAGGAGAGAGAGAGAGAGAGAGAGAGAACAAAAAAAAAAGAAAAGAGAGAGAGAGAGAGAGAGCGAGAGAGAGGGAGAGACAGAGAGGCAGAGTGAGAGCGGGAGAGAGCGAGAGAAAGAGAGAGCGAGAGAGAGATAGAGACCGAGATATAGAGAGAAAGAGAGAGAGAGAGCCAGACAGACAGACAGACAAATAGACAGACAGACAACAGAGAGAGAGAGAGAGCGAGGGAATAGGCATATCATAGCGCCAGAGAGGCAGAACTTGATATGGCAACAGCCGGCTCTGATTGATGCACGGCAATGGTGAAACGCCAGCCCGCTGCCGACAAAATCGTCTTATTCAGGAGTCACCGTCTGGAGCCACAGTGACATCACACGCGGAATTGGAACTACTCCAAAAGAGAAGCGCGTCGCGCGCATCAGGTCAGCCCTGGGCTGTGCACGCAGAGCGACAGAAGCGAGAGACACTTGAATACCAACCACCACTTGGCGGCGCCCCAATAGGGGCGTGGTGCCAGGAGGGCCAGCCTTCTGAGAAGGCGCAGGGACTTCTTAGGAGGCAGGGGCCTTTTCGGAAACACCTCCGCCTTCTCAGCAGGCCGTTCCCCTCGCCCCACCCGCCCTGGAGCGCCGCAGAACAAACATCGACCGACCAACCTGTGGCGACCCACGAGCCGCGCGCATCCAGCCAGCGCGAGCTCAGGACAGGCGGCCCTCCCTGCAGTGTTCGTGGCTGCCTGGAACCAGCATGCATCGATTTCCGACCGCCCGCGGCCTTCGAGTGCACAGCTCTCGTTCGGCTGCCACTGTAGCAGCCTGCGGTCCCATTCGGGGCGTGCATGGTATTTGGCGGCGGCGGCCGCAAATAATTAGATGGACGATATCACAGCAAAGCATCCCACCCCGCTGTCCGGATCGCTTCCCGGACTAGCGAGAGGTCGCCTTCAACGACCTGCTTGATGCTAGAGCTGGCGACGCTTCTCAAGCTGTACTCCACCTCCCAATCGGGAGACGCCGCCGAAGTTTGCAAGAGATTCGGGGACAGCAGCCGCACGCAGTATGGCGTGCGCTTCGACTCAGGACGGTCGCCGACGACGTCCTCGGGGCGCCTAGCGACGAACCCGTAGGTTGCGGTCCTGGCCTCGTTCAGCTCTGGGATGACGATGATGATCGGGTCGGACGAAAAGGTTAGGAGGCAACTACAGGGAGATTTTCGTGGGAAGGATTAAGGAGGATTAAGCCCCATTTGGGAGCTGTTACGCCGGAAAGCGCCTCGGACCAAGCAAGATTAAGCTGGATTAAGCGGGATTCAGCGGGATTAAGCCGGATTAAGCGGGATTAAGCTGGACTCAGCCGGATTTCGGACCAGGGCGAAAACAGAATTTGACCTCCCATGAGTGGCACCCGAAGAGGGGATACAAACGGGGGGGTCAGCGGCCCAGCCCACGCGCCTGGCTGGACCCGTGCCTCCCAGCGCTGGGAGGCAACAGGGTACCGAGGAAGGGCGTCCGGCGGCGGGGGCGGGACCAGCTGCATGCGGCAGATGTCGTGCCTCCCCCTCTCCCTGCAGTCGAGGCGTTGACCAGAAAGGAACCCTACTCCAGATTTCGTAATAAAAGGGAGGGGGTCTGGACCCTCCAAGACGAGCCATTTCAGACCTCCCCCGTTGGAGAACCCTCCAAAACATCGTCCCCGGACCCCCCCAGGCCCTCCAAGATAACTTGGAAGAGACCCTCCCCCCCTAAATGAGACCCCCCTCCCTTTGTTACGAAATCTGGAGTAGATGAGGAACGAGGCCCCATCGTAAAAGTGAGGACAACCTTAGGCAAGGTGTGGAACAATGAAGGGACACCGAGCCCCTCCCCAACGAAAAGGGATCCTTCTTCAGCGCCCCGACTGTATCCCCTCCACTTTCGCCCAGCCCGAAATGAGGAAGAACGGCTGCCAGAACGTGGGCATCAGCTTCGCGTGCAGCGCAAAATCCATGCCGACGTTCACCTTCTGGGCGGATCTGGCGCGTGGGCACCAGATCCACGGATCGGAGGAGAAGGCACCCCCCAAAACATGAGGCTTGCGCCGCCCGATTTTGGCTGCAGAACACTCCGATTTCTGGACCCGTTGCTAACCCACGTGCCTCAATTCATGTTTTTGAGATCCGACGTCGCGACCAACAATGAAACATCGCCAGCAATCGTCACGACCGCAGCCCCCGACCCCATCTTCCCACTGCCTGTCTCGAGCCAAATCGATCTGCGACAACCCAGGGGCCCGACACAGGCGAAAACGCTCGTTGAGAAGAAGCATAAACGACATACACATACGCTTCTGGCGCTCCGCGCGGATTTCTTGGATCTGCGCCGGACCCCCCTCCCTGGCGCGCGGAGCGTGCCAGGGGCGGCGTCGGAGGCGCCGCCAGGAGGTCCCAGCGCGGATCCAAGAAATCCGCGCGGAGCGCCAAAAGTTTATGTTTAAGGCGTTGTTTCTTCTTCTTGGTGGTCTCCAAACCAGGTGGTGAGACACCCGGTGGTGACCCCGATTCCCCCAAAAATAATTCTGGGTCGCCACCGGGTTTGGGGACACGCGGTCGCCACGAGGTTTTGCGTTTCCTGGGCCAGCCAGCGCTCGAAAACCATTACCCAAATCGCCCAAAACTCACCACCGGGTGTTCTCACCACCACGTTTGGGGACCACCAATCTTCGGTCGTTGCCAAAACCGCACCACGCCCTGACCCGAGGTGGAGAAGCCCTGCGGGCTGGACCGCCGCCGCCTCCGCGGAGGCGGGCCTGCCGCGCTCACTCCCCGGAGGGGGGCCCGCGCCCCGCCCCGCTCGACCACAGAGCCCAAGCGGCGACGAAGCCGCTCGAGGGCCTCCCCCTCCTCCTCCTCCCCCCCCTCCTCCTCCTCCTCCCTCCTCCTCTCCTCCTCCTCCTCTTCCTCCCTCCTCCTCCTCCCCCTCCTCCTCCCCCTCCTCCCCCGTCCTCCTCCTCCTCCTCCTCCTCCTCCTCCTCCTCCTGCTGCTCCTCTTCTACAATTACTCAATATGAATACTACTCTCCCTCTTCCCCTGATGACGGTTTGAAAGTGCTCGACCCCCCCGCGTACTGTTTTTGACACACAGGTTTCCCCTGAGTTGGGTTTTCGCCTGCAGTTGTTTCCAAAATGCTGCTCTCGCTGAGGCGCCCGCCTCATTTTCGGGCCCCGCTCGTTCCGAATCGTGCTCCTGCTCGTTCCGATTCGTGAACCCGCTGCAGCGCTGGCCTCATTTCCGCGCTTCCGCTCGTTTCGACTCGTGCTCCCGCTGCAGCGCTGGCGTCATTTCCCGTGCCATGCCACGGCATGCAATGCAATGCTAGGTTGATACTACGCTTCGCGGTGCTCTTCTACGCCATGCCATGCCGTGCTCTACAATGCATCGCGTACCCTTTCGGGATCATTGCCCTGCTCGACATCCGACTGTGCGAGTAGAGAGGGGATCTGCGCCATGGTAAGGGATGGGAGGAAGGGGTAGGATGTCAGATGACGCGAGCGCACGCTGTCCTCCTCCCTCCTCCTCCTCCTCCTCCTCCTCCTCCTCCTCCTCCCTCCTCCTCCTCCTCCCCTCCTCCTCCTCCTCCTCCTCCTCCTCCCGCCTCTCGTCCTCCTCCTCCTCCTCCTCCTCCTCTCCTCCCTCCCTCCTCCTCCTCCTCCTCCCTCCCCCTCCTCCCATCCTCCTCCTTCCTCCCCCCTCCTCTCCTCCTCTCCCTCCTCCTCCTCCTCCTCCTCCTCCTCTCACCTCCTCCCGCCTCCTCCCCTCCTCCTCCTCCTCCCCCTCCTCCTCCTCCTCCTCCTCCTCCTCCTCCTCCAACTCCTGCCCCTCTCCTCCGTCCCCTTCCTCCTTCTCCTCCTCCTCTGCCTTGGAAGGCTTCCCCAGTGGGGTCCGAGTGGACGGGGTCAGAGGAACACGCCGCATCGCCAGTGCATCGCCCATGCACCGATACATCGGTGATGCGTCGGCGACGTCGCCGATGCATCGGAACCGTCGGCGCGGAGAAGATCGGGCTCCTCATTGAGCCGCATCGCCGATGCATCAGCGATGCGGCGCAGTCCTCCAGCCCCACCTGCTCGGACTCCCCTTGGGGGGCCTGGATCCCGCGTCCTCTCTCTTCGGCTCTGAAGAGCCTGTGGTTGCTTCCCTTCTCAGCAGCTTGAACAGCTTGGGGATGTGTGTTCAGAGTCTGTCACAAGTATTTGGAATGACTGAATTGATAGAATGTTGGCCAGCTTGGGCCCTGAACAGTGTTGTCGAGCATACTCTGCCATGTGATATGTGCGATGCAGCCTACGCTAAGCAGCTTACGTATTGCTGCAATCCACGCAGTGCCAATCAATGTGGGATAATCTCCACAGTGCTACCGATGCGGTGCAAACTTACGGCTGCACCATGCTGTGCGAGGCTGTGCCGTCAGATGCCTCTCCGCGATGTGCCGTGCTGTGCGAAAGTATGCAAGGCTGCGCGACTACGCTATGCTGCGGCAGGCTGTGCTGTGCTGTGCGGTGCGAGTGGACGAGCACGGCTGGACCAATGCGAATGGCGGCAGCGGACGGCGGCGACGTGCCGCGACGGGCAACGACGAGCCGGCCCGACCGCTTCGGGGGCCCAGGTCACGTGGCGGCGGACGACGGCGGTGACGGGCGGCGACGAGCCGACCGGACCGACACCGGGGCCAGGCTCCTCCTCCTCCTCCTCCTCCTCCTCCTCCTCCTCCTCCTCCTCCTCTGCCGCCTCCTCCTCCTCCTCCTCCTCCTCCTCCTCCTCCTCCTCCTCCTCCTCCACCTCAGAACACCTAAGAACCCCTGACAGCAAGCACTGCTTGGGGAATATCCCGAGGCCAGTGGCCCAAGGCTCTCCGTGGCCAAGTCGGCCTGGCCAGCAGGAACCTGCGGGGAGCCTACACTGCTTCACGCCGCCCGCCTCTGGGCCTCTTGCCCCCACGGGGGAGCGAGCGGCATGAGGTGAGGGGCTTTTCCGTTCGAGCCGTCATCTCCGTCATTCTTTGTACTCGTCGTCTCTGTCCTTCCCTTTCCCTGGGAGACCTCTTCCCCTGGGCTCCAGCCAAGCCGACCTTGAGCAACCTCGTAATTGAGTCGAAGGGAAGCCCCTTCCCTTTGATCCCTCCCCCGCCGGGAGGGGGGGGGGGGTGTCGACCCCCCCCCCCGGGTCAGATACGACGCCCCCCCCTGGGACTCCTCTTCCCCTGGGCTCCAGCCAAGCCGACCTTGAGCAACCTCGTAATTGAGTCGAAGGGAAGCCCCTTCCCTTTGATCCCTCCCCCGCCGGGAGGGGGGGGGGGGGTGTCGACCCCCCCCCCGGGTCAGATACGACGCCCCCCCCTGGGACTCCTCTTCCCCTGGGCTCCAGCCAAGCCGACCTTGAGCAACCTCGTAATTGAGTCGAAGGGAAGCCCCTTCCCTTTGATCCCTCCCCCGCCGGGAGGGGGGGGGGGGTGTCGACCCCCCCCCCCGGGTCAGATACGACGCCCCCCCCTGGGACTCCTCTTCCCCTGGGCTCCAGCCAAGCCGACCTTGAGCAACCTCGTAATTGAGTCGAAGGGAAGCCCCTTCCCTTTGATCCCTCCCCCGCCGGGAGGGGGGGGGGTGTCGACCCCCCCCCGGGTCAGATACGACCGCCCCCCCCCCCTGGGACTCCTCTTCCCCTGGGCTCCAGCCAAGCCGACCTTGAGCAACCTCGTAATTGAGTCGAAGGGAAGCCCCTTCCCTTTGATCCCTCCCCGCCTGGGAGGGGGGGGGGGGGGGGTCGACCCCCCCCCGGGTCAGATACGACGCCCCCCCCTGGGACTCCTCTTCCCCTGGGCTCCAGCCAAGCCGACCTTGAGCAACCTCGTAATTGAGTCGAAGGGAAGCCCCTTCCCTTTGATCCCTCCCCCGCCGGGAGGGGGGGGGGGGTAGCGACCCCCCCCCCGGGTCAGATACGACGCCCCCCCCTGGGACTCCTCTTCCCCTGGGCTCCAGCCAAGCCGACCTTGAGCAACCTCGTAATCTCTTGCTGCGCATTGCGAACAGGGTCGGCGGCACCGGCCGTCAGGCCTTCGCAATATCCCGAGGCCAGTGGCCCAAGGCTCTCCGTGGCCAAGTCGGCCTGGCCAGCAGGAACCTGCGGGGAGCCTACACTGCTTCACGCCGCCCGCCTCTGGGCCTCTTGCCCCCACGGGGGAGCGAGCGGCATGAGGCGCGCATGCCCATTTCAGCCAATCAGGACACACTCGCCGGAACCGAACATGTAATAGACAAGCCGTATAGATTTAAGTCGGGCCTGTCCTCCTACCGGGGGATTTTGGAAGAATTATGGAACATAGTAAAAAAATGCCCCAACATGGCCAAACAATGCTAACAAAAATAGTCCCCAGACCATTTTTTGACTGTTTTTGAATACTCCTCCTGTAGAGGGACAGGCCCGACCGAAGCATGGCATGCCGGTGCCCACGTGGTGTGGCCGGAGGCCGCCCGCCGCCTGGCCCTCTGTACGCTCCGGAGTTTCACAGAACCCGCCTCGCCCCCGACGGGGCCGAGGCGTCGCTTACAGCAGAACTGTGCTTAAATCGGGTGTGCCCCCCTACAGGGGGACTATCGACGAAAATTCAGAGCATTCCTCCCGTAGAGGGACGGGCACGACTTGAAACTTTGCTTGGGTGAAGCCGAATCCTCGCGCTGTGAGCAGATGCGCGGCTCAAGATTTTCGGCACCGTTCCGCCGCCGGGAGTCCTCGCAGGGCCCTGAGGCCATCGAAGGACCGCTCGGGGTGAAGAGCCGGTCCCTGTAACGACCCATAGCTCCAACGTCTGCTCTTGAGGCCCTCGACAATTTCTTTCTACGGCACCTTCCATCTCAGCATACAGCAAGGGCTCGACACCAAGAAACCTCCCGCAATAATTCCAATCATGAGACCCCAGGACGTCCATTGTTTTTTGGTGCGGAAGCGTCGCGCCTTCCACAGCAAAACCATCGAAACCTAAGAAATCCAGGGCACTCAAGTGGCAAGCAGGGTGTTTTTTTTGACATGGGCTTTCACTGTATGCGAAAGCGATTCCTACGTCCTCTGACTCGTAAAGCCTCTCGCGAATTTTGGAGATCTGGACCCCGTTCCTGGGACCAGAGTTTCTTTCTGAGTCGTTGTTTGACGGTCCCATTGCGAATTGTGGCCCACGGGAAGCCGAACATTTCCAAACACCGCCCGTCGTTTTTTTCCGACTGAAAGGAAATGGGGGGAGCCGATGGATGGTCGTCGATGAACCCCCCTGTCGATCCAATCCCCCCTACGTGCCCCTAAGGGGTGATATGGATTCGGTTTGCGCACAAACAAACCCCCCAGGAAGCCTTGGCTGGCCTCGACAGGCCCTCCGAGTAACCGAAAAGGGTTTTCAATAACCCCCCGGACAATGATGGGAACATCATTCATTTTCCGCGGGTTTATTGACGGATTGGGACCCCAGCAATACTTGGAAATTGATTACTCTCGGCGGCGGAAGCCTGAGAGAATAAGCGAAGTGATAAAAAACCGCAACGTTCAACGCCAGGCGGCCTCCTCGTCCTCCTCCTCCCCTCCCTCCTCCTCCCCTACACGCCGCCGCCGCAACTGCTGCACACGTGCGAACATACATCGGCGGCGAAGACGGCGACGACCACGAAGACGACGAGGATGAAGACGACGACGACGAAGACGTCGAGAAGTCGACTTCTACTGCGGAGCCTTTTTTTACGAAAATGCTCGACATTCCTCCCGCATGCAAAGTAGCCCAACAGGCATTCTCAACTGGGAGAGATAACCTCCCAACAATATCCAGCACGGCCGGCAATGGTGGGAAACTGTTATCCCCGCGGCGGTGAAGACGACCACGAAGACGACGACCGCGGCGACGAGGACAACGACGACGAAGACGACGACGAAAACGCCGACGACGACGAAAACGGCTCGAGAAGCCGATTGGATGCGCATCGATTTCTATTGCAAGCCTTTTTTACGACCATGCTCGAACTTCCGGCCGCGCGCACAGTAGCCCAGGAGGCATTCCCAACTGGGAGAAATACCCGCCCAACAATTTCCAGCACGGCCGACAACTGTAGGAAAAGAATCCCCCCCTGCGCCGGCGAGGGCGACGACGAAGACAACGATGACGACGACGACGACGAAGACAACGACGAAGACGACGAAGACAACGAAGCCGACGAGTGCGAAGAGGCTTCTGACCCCGCAACCCAGGCACGGCGGTGACGCTGTTGACCTACAGCCAAGGTCGTGGGGCCCTCCCAAGGCCCCGGAGGCCGAACATTGAAAAAACCCTCCAGTCGCGTTTTTGTTTCGCAGCGCCCTGATCTGGGGGAGGCTTGTGGCCCAGAGCCCAGGCAAGGCGGTGAGGTTTGTGACCAACAACCCAGGCACAGCGGTGGGGCTTTCAACCGCGACCCAGGCACGGCGGCGCAGTCTGTGACACACTACCCACAACGGCGGCGAGGCGTCTGTCTCGCGCATCACAAGCCAGGCACGGCGGTCAGGTCTTTCAGCCACAACCATGGCACGTCGGCAAGGCTCCGGACCCACAGTCCAGGCACGGCGGTGATGCTTCTGGCCCACAACCCAGGTACGTCGGTGAGGCTTCTGGCCCCGCAACCCAAGCACGGCGGTGTGGCTTCTGAGGAAGAGGAGGACTGATTGGATGGGACTGCCACCTGGAGTGCCGATGACGCCTGTACGGTCCGGAATAACTATCGCTGTGATACTGTTCACCACGAGCAAGTCGACGAATCCAAACATTGCAGCGAATCTGCAACCCACGGCACGGCGAGCGAGAGCATGGATGAGGAATGAGCAAGAATCGTCGTCGTCGTCGTCGTCGTCGTCGTCGTCGTCGTCGTCGTCGTCGTCCTCTCCCGTCGTTGTCGTCGTCCTCGTCGTCGTCCTCCCTCCTCCTCGAGTCTACGAAGCGGAGCCCCGAACAGGGGGGGAGGAGGAGGAGGAGGAGGAGGAGGAGGAGGAGGAGGAGGAGGAGGAGGAGAAGGGAGGAGGAGGAGGAGGAGGAGGAGGGAAGGATGATAGGAAAAGGGAGGGTGTGGGGTGGGAGGAGGACGGGGGCGTCGGGCGGGGAGATACGAACGAGGGGGGGGGAGGACGGTCTGAACGGGAGGAGGTGTAAAAGGGGAAGGAAGGGAGGGACGGTGAAGGATGGGAGGAAAGGAGGGACGAGTTTCTATCCCTGCCGAGAAGCTTCGGGGGGTGGGGGGGGGGGGGGGGGGGTGGGGTGGGGGGGGGGGGGGGGGGGGGGGGGGGGGGGGGGGGGGGGGGGGGGGGGGGGGGCACGACGCCATCATGGGGACCCTTCGCGGTCCACGGGCTCCCTGGAGCTCATCCTCATGACACCATGCCGGGCGGCCTGGACACGTACAAACACAGGAGGAATAACGGGCGTATAGGACAAAGAAAAGCGGGCCCTTCGAGGTTAGTCCGGGGTGGTCTCACCACCCCGGTGACGCCTCTGGCGGCGCCCCTCAGGCCCTGGGGCACTCCGCGCCGCAGGGTTGGTGTGTTGAGACTCCCTGAGCCACTCGGGGGGCCTATTGAGTCGAGGCCGGCCAGGACTACCTGACTGTGCATGACCCGAAACCTTGCCCAAGCGGAGGCGGGCGCGTGGTAATGGAGGGTGGCCTACCTGGGAGGTGTGTGTGTGTGTGTGTGTGCGGGGGCCCTCTTCTTGACCCCTGGTCTAGGTCACCCCTCATTGCAATTAAGTCGGGCGCGTCCCCCTACAGGGGGATTTTCGACAAAAAATTAAAAACACTGGAAACACTGGAAAATATTAGTCCCGAGACCATCTTTACTACCTTTGAATATTCCCCCTGTAAAGGGGCAGGACCGATTTAAAACTTACCGAGGGAGAGGGCCCTGTCAGGATTCGGGCCCCGTCGGGCGCCACCGTCATCGCCGCGGAGGCGCGCTCCCGCAGCTTCGCCAGCAGAGCCGGGTCCGGGGGCCGCCCGAACACCTCCAGGACGGGCCGCTGGGCAGGGGTCGTCGCCGCCGCCGCCGTCCTCCTCCTCCTCCTCCTCCTCCTCCTCCTCCTCCTCCCCCGTCGTTTAGAGGGCAGAAAATCCACCCCGATGATAACCACCCCGACACGCGAGGTCGTTTAGCAAACGCACCCAAAGAGGGAATCGAACAGGGCAAGGCTTTAAATAAACGCCCAAGGCCGTTAAGTAAACGCCAGTTGTCCGGTCTGGGTGTTTTTTCTTCTCCTGAATCGTGTCCTCCTCCTCCCTCCCTCGGGGGTTGCCAAAATGCGCCTGACCCTAGGTGCCCCCCAATTTTCGCTTCTCGCTCCATCTTGGGGCCCCCTGGGGTCCTCCAAGCCTCGTGAGAGGGCCCTGGGGGCCTCCTTGGGATTCCGGGGGGCACCTGTCGGCTACGCGCGAGAATGAAACGCGGGACGCAGAGTCGCCAAACCTGGGCGCGCAAGCCGTGACTACCGTTTTGCGTTCAGCGATCTGGGGACCCATCTGTGCCCGCACCAAAGGTCACTCCGGCGAAAGGTCACTCTTACGTCTAGTCGAACCTTGGGCCAACGGCACTTCTAGCAACACCCGATCCTCCTCCTCCTCCTCCCCAGAGATCCCGGCGCAAACACTTTCCACAGCGGGCGTTCTCGCCGGGGCTCGGGCCCCGCGGACCCCCCACAGGCCCCTCGGGCTCGAACACTGGCGCAGAACGATGGGGTCTGGGGCTCACGTTGTAACGTGGCTGCGATGTCCCAAACGCTTCGCGGCATCGGACCTCAGGGTTCCTCGCCCTGCCTCCCTCTGCTGCGACTGCGGCGTGATGTCGAGCGGAGCAGACCCCCTAATCAAGCTGAAGCGGGCATAGCCCCAGGCCGACCAGAAAAGAGAGAGAGAGAGAGAGAGATAGAGGCCTCCTGGATGAGGTTGGAATAGATGGGGTCGGATGATCGCGCCGCATCGGCGATGCAACGGCGATGCATCGGCGATGCACTGGCGACGTCGGCAATGCATCGGCGACGTCGGCGTGGCGAAAATCGGGCTGCACATCGAGCCGCATCGGCGATGCATCGGCGGTGCGGCGCGATCCTCTGACACCGTCTGCTCTGACCCCATCTGGGAGGCCTAGATAGAGGTCAAACATCCACCCCCATAATAACCACCCCGACACGCGAAGTCGTTTAGTGAACGCGTCCGAAGAAGGAAACGAACAGGGTAGAGCTGTTTAGCGGGCCGTTCAGTAAACGCCAATAGCGCGCCCGAAGAAGGAAACGAACAGGGCAGAGCTGTTTCGCGGGCCGTTTAGTGAACGCCAGTTGTCCGGTCCGGGTGGGCTTTCCTCCCTGGGCTAGAGACAGAGAGGGAGAGAGAGTCTGCTGCTTAGAAACTGATCGGATCGTTTCTCTGGAATCGGAGCGCGAAATTCGCGGTCGCCTCGGAGCACACCTGTGAGCACGACCTGGGGTGCGTCCGAACTCCTCTGCCTGGGCCGAAAATGCCAGGGAAGCCAGCGCGCACAGCATCGAGGGAGAGGACGAGGACAAGCGTTGAAAGAGAGAGAGAGAGAGAGAGAGAGACAGAGGGAGGGAGGGAGAGAGAGAGAGAGAGAGACAGAGAGACAGAGGCCCCCGAAGTGCCTCTCGGCTGCCCCCCTCGGGGGCGGATCCAAGAGGGGGGCGTCCAAGACGGGGGGGGGTGCAAATCGTGGCCAGCGGCATGTGCGCGGCCCTTTGGGGGGGGGGCGGGGACGCATTGACATCAGAGGTGGCGCCACGAACTCTGGGGAGATGTCGTGGCCCCCGCCAGGATCTCCACCCCCCCCCGCTGGTCAGCACCCCCCTCTCTGCCGCCCCCGGCCCCCGCCTCCCTGGCCCTCCTCCCGCCGCGCCTCGCCCGGGCCCGCCCCGCTGTGCCCCTCCCCGCGCTGCCCCCCCTCCGCGTGCCTTGCCTCTCCGCGTGCCGAGCCTCGGGCCGGGTCGCCGGGAGAGCCCCCCCAGGAGTCGGGGGGGGGGGGGGCCTGCGAATCACTTGCCGTCGCTCGGACGTCCATTTCCTGTGCATTTTTCGGTTTCGTGCGTGATTTTTTTGCTCAATGGTCCAGGATGGTCCTCGATGGTTCTCGCCGAGAAAACACGACCGAGCGATGCCAAGACCATGGGAAGCCTGGAACCACCGCGATGTTCTCGTTTTGTGGTGATTCGAGGTCACCCCACGATTCCGAGCGATGGGAAGCCCATGCTCCGAGCTTCTTCATAAGCGTCGAGGGCGGGGGGCGTCACCACCGCCAACGGCCACACGTCGACCCCCGTCGCGGGCAGCCACCGCGTGCCGAAGGCGCTCCGACCCCCGTCGCGGCGCGACGACGAGGCGAGGTGGACCCCCCTCAGGGGCGTACCCCCCCACCCACGCTTATTCACAGGGGTGGACCTAAACGGTGTTTGGGCGATTTCGTGGGCCGTTTTCGTTTCGATCTCGTTTTGCGTTCGGGGCGGGCTGAGGACAACACGAGGGACAACGAAAACAAAACGAAAACGAAAAGCACCGCTTAGGTTCAGCCCTGCTTGTTAAGAACCCCCCAGGGTACTCCAGATCTCGTAACAAAAGGGAGGGGGTCCGGACCCTCCAAGACGGGCCACTTCGGACCCCCCCCCTCGTGGGAGAGCCCTCCCAGAACATCGCCCCCAGACCCCCCCAGGCCCTCCAGGATAGCCTGGAAGAGACCCCCCCCCCGAAATGAGACCCCCTGCCTTTTATTACGAAATCTGGGGTAGCCAGACGGCTGCCCGCGGGGGGGGGGGGGGGGTGGGCCCGTGGCCCTCGGAGGCCCGGCGGCGCGCCGAGCCCTGGCGGGAAGAAAAAAAAAAAAAAAAAGAAAATATAAAAAAAAAGCGGCCGCAGGAGGGCCCCACGGTGACGCCTCGGACCCGCAGCCCACGGCCCACGGCACGAGCGAGAGGGCGGTGCGAGTGCAAAGTTTGAGCAGGGACCGACCATCTCGGCATTTCTGTAGGCCTATCACGACATGCCCTTAGAACCCAAGCATGTTCTGAGAGCAGAAGCAATAGGTTCTCAGAACACAAACATGTTCTGAGAACAGAGGCAAGGTTCTTAGAACACAAGCCCGAGGTGCTGAAAACAGGACGGCCGCAGCCAGAACTGCTCTGAGCACGCCTCGCGCAGACCACAACAGGTTCTCAGAACATTCTTCGGTGGGCCTATAGGCAAGCCAGGACGCTTCGCCACTGCTTAGAACATTATTTGGTGGGCCTGTAGGCGAGCCAGGACGCTTTGCTATCGACGCGCCCAGGCGGACAATGCCGCCACCGCGGTAAATCCACGGCAAGCCCTAGGCCCCGCGCTCCAGGTACACGAGGTCGCCACCGCGGCAAGCCCCACGGCCAACCCCACGCGTCCGAGGCGGATTTTGCCCTGGTGGCCGAGGCGCCTTCCCCTAAGCGCAAGGTCGCGCGTCGGAACAAACGGCGCGGAGGCAGGTTCGGTCCACTGTAGATGCCATGTTGCCAACTCTGGCCTACGCGCATCCCGCGGCAACAGCGTTGAAGGCGAGCAGCAAGATCGATACGGGTGCCTCCCCGATCCAGAGTCGACGGTTTAAGGCGGCTCGGGATCTGCAACTCCAGCCACTCCCCAAGGCCACCTTCGGCTACACGCAAGAGTGACGCACCAAAAGCCACCCCCGTGAATGTTCACTCTCACGTGTAGCCGACACCTGCTGGGAGCATCGCGCCGTCTCCGGTGGCAACACATGGGGACCTCCCATACCGTATTACTGGCTCGTGCGAATCCACGATAATCGACGATAGATCGACACTTATCGACGCTAAATCGAGGCTAGTCGACGCTAGATCGGCGCTTCCTCATCGATTACCACGCATTAAACGACGCCAATGCGCTCTAAAGACGGAAATCCGATGGTATGCAAGGCTCCCGTTATTTGCTACCGAAATGAAGTGTAGAGTCGACCCCTGCTGGGAGCTTCGCGCCGTCGTCGGGTCCCACGCATCAACGCTCCAAAGCTCAACGTTGGAGGCGGCGGGGAGGTCTGAACTTGGTTGGCCCCGAGAAGATCGATCAAGCAAAAAGGGAAGGGCAAATCCGCCCACTTTCGCCCTGGATGCGGTTTTGACGGTCCTGGGATCCGAAAACGGCCCCTGGAGGCCGAAACAAGCTAAAGACAATCTCGAATCCAGAACCGCAAACCTCGCTCCCCCCGGCCCCTCGTGCTCACCAAACCCAATGCTGTCGCCACCTCAGACTCCCAGCCGGCCCGCTCCAAGACGGCCGCATCCCAGAGCGGGTCAGCCCTCCACCGAGCTCTGGACGCCCGACATGGGTGCGGAACCAATGGGCACAGTGTCCAAAAACAAACGCGATCCAACACCGACAGCGCCCGCTGTTGGGCAGGTGGCTTTCTGTCTTCGATGAGCAACGTCCGTGGCGGGAGCCTTTTTTTTAGACTCGCGGCGCGGACAGCGACCCCTGTTGTAAAAAAGAACAGGAGCGGCTGCAGGGCACCGCGGCTCCCCCCCTCCCCGAGGAGCGGCGTCCGGCGGGGGGTTCTGGCTCGGAGGAGGCACGTCGAGCTGGAAGTGGCGATGCATCGGCAGTCGGGAGCACGGGAATGAAGGGGCCCCAGGACACACAAATGAATACACACAACTAAAAATATTTCCCATATTTTCCGATATTTTCTGGGTTTCTGTCTTCCCCCCCACTTCCCATCTTTTCCCATATTTTCTTTGGAATCGAGAATTAATTGTGTCTGTGTGTTTTTTCCTCTCCTGAGGGAAGGCGACACAACACCACTGGGGCGAGGAGCTGCGAGGAGGCAAGAGGAGTCTCCATGCTGGTGTGGTCCCCCCTTCTCGCTCGAGACATCCCCAGCCTCCAGCTCGGGGAGGCACCGTGGACCTCCTCGCTGGAGGTGGGACCCCTGGTAGTGAAGATATCGCTTCTCCTCCCTCCGAAGTAGCGCGGCGTCAGGCGCCCGATGGTGAGTCAGCACGTTTCTATCTGGCGGGGTGGGCCATCGGGCGACCCGATCGAATCGGGCGGGGTGGGCCATCGGGCCACTCCGTCGGCGACGAATGGGCGAGAGGGGGTTGGTGCAGCCCCGCCTCCCTCTGAGCCTATCCCCCCCACCCTAACACTGTCCCTGACCCACACCGAGCGCCAGTGAACGGCGCGGGCTCGAGGGGATGGGCCACTCCAACGCCATCACCTGCTCGGAGGCCGTGCTCGCTTGTCGCAGCAAGGCGAGTTCAAACAACGGCAGCTCAAACTCTGTTCCCGGACCCCTCCAATGCATCCACACGCTTCAGCCCTCCGAGTTGCGTCCAGCCGCGACGACGAGGAGGCCGCTCGAAGGCCAACCGCCAATGCCTCAACCCGCCCCCCCCTTACTTGAGCAGGGACCTACCGTCCCAGCATTCCTATAGGCCTACCACGAAATCAATCTCCTTAGAACCCCAAACATGTTCTAAGAACACAAACAGTGCCCTTAGAACGTTGAGCCGATCTGCTGAAATGAAACAGTCTCAGCCAGACATGTCCAAAGAACATTTCGTGCAGACCACAAAAGGTCATTAGAATATTCTTCGGTGGGCGTATATCGGGGATGGACAGACCCCCCTTTAGTAAAACGTGGTTTAGTGAAAACGACCTGATGCCCAAACCTGGCGGGCGCAAGCCTGGAAAATAACGGCCACGGCGCCCTCTCGAGAACCGAAAACGGACAATTCACTAATCGACGTGTCACTGTTGGGGGTTCTGTCCATCCCCGATTATAGGCGAACCACGACGCTTCGCCACTGCTCGACTTACCTGACTGTTCGTGACACTGGGTCCTGCTTGCCGTGCCGCCGGCTCGCGGGGCACCTGCTTCAGCTGCCGCGCGAGGCAGTCGCTGAACAGCTCCTCGGCCCTCTCGACGACCTGCTCGCTGAGATCGCCGATGTGCGCCCTGCTCGGCCCCAGGGTTGGCTGCAGGGGCCGCATGTTCGGCATCCCCCTGCCCACGACAAAGATCTTGCTTTCGTCCTGGAGGCGAAGGCAAGGGGGGGAACGCTAAGAGAGGGGACTAGCTCAGGGGGAGGTCCGTCGACCTGGGATCGGCGATGCCTCGCAGGCAGATCGGCGATGGGCCGCGACAGCAAATCCGTGCGTTCCTGGGCGGGGTGGACCGTCGGGCCCCTCTCGGCGATGTTATGGGCGACTGGGGGTCGATGCGTCCCCCCTGCAGCCTATCCCCCCCTGACGTTGCACCTGAGCAGGCGCCAGAACTCGCCATCGCTCGGACGTCCATCCCCCGTGCATTTTCCGACTTCGCGCGTGTATGTTTCGCTCCACCATCAGAGGTGCTTCTCGATGGTCCTCGCCAGGGAAAATACACACGTCCGAGCGATGCCAAGAGACGCACGCGCTTTCAAAGGTGCGTGTGCATTTCTCGGGTCGGCGCTGGACCCCACCCTGGTGACGCCTCCGGCCAAGCCCCTGGCGCGCGTCGCGCGCCAGGGGATGGGGGGGGTTCCGCCTCGACCCGAGAAAGCGGCGCGGGCCTCTGAAACCTTAGGCGTATTCAACGGGTTGCACCCGGACGTCCGCAAAGAAGATGCGCGCGAAGTCCCTCCGGCCTTCCTCTCGGCACGCCCGGAGTGGGGGCGGAAAGGGTGGGGATGATGGCCAACAGCACAGCGGCCGCTGTCGTGCAGGCGACGTCTGTCCCAGACCGAGCAGGCGGCACCGATAGCGGAAACAAAAACCAGCATGGGCAATTGCTGCCTCTGGCCTTCGCCCGCACTCTTCCCGTCCCTACCTCGTTCGTGCCGAGCTCGGCGGAACACGCAGGAGGGCGATCCCGGGGAGGAGTGGCCCCCGGTGCGCGGCTGAAAGGGGCGCGTGGGGGGAAGGTTCGAGGATCAAAAGAGCACCCTGGTCCCCACCTCGATCCCTCCCCAGAGGGGTGGGCCAGGTGGGGGTGGGGTAAATTTGTTGCGTATCTCCTGCGAGACATCCTCAGGAGTTCGACCCAGGCCCCATGGGGAAGGGGGGCCGTGTGGGAGGGAGACAGAATACCAACGATGCGCTTCAATAGTGACACCCTGATGGATTCCAAAACGGCGTGTAATTGATACTGCTTCTGCTCCACGAGTGGAGGTGCGCTTTCTTTCCCCAATGGGGGGCCCACCACGGGGCCCCTTGATCGCCACATGCGACGTGACAGCGCCAGCCTGCGTGCCCAGCCCAAGATCCCTCCAAGAGGGCCCCGAAAGGCCCCAAGACGACCTCAGGCAGGGCCCGAAGAGGCCAACATCACTGATCCCCATCGGTGGGCGGGCCCGCGGCGGCAGTCGAGCAGTGCCAAGGGGGGCCACCGCGAAGGGGTTCACCAATCCATCCTGGAAATCGAGGCTCCTGGTTCCATGCTCGAAGACTGTTCGTTGTGCGCTGAGGGTCGTCTTGGCATGCTCTGGGATGTCCTGGGGGGCCCGCTCCTCCTCCTCCTCCTCTCCTCCTCCTCCTCCTCTTCCTCCTCCTCCTCCTCCTCCTCCTTCTCCTCCTCCTCCTCCTCCTCCTCCTCCTCCTCCTCGAGGAAGCTGCGCTTCCGCGAGGAGCAGGCCGAGCAGGCTTCGGAAGGAGTCTCGCACCTCTCGACTAGTCGGGGCCTCGGCCTCGCGGCGGCCCCGAGGGGCCCCGCGCCCCCCCCCCCCCTCCGGCAGCGACGACCGGCGGGGCCACTCCATGGGGTGGCCCCCCCTGGGCATGGCGGGCCCCACCTGCTGGGACGCAGCTCTGCTTAATGCGGGATGACGATGAATAAAATTTATCCCGGCAAAGCAACCTAACAGCGATGTGTAGAAGCATATCTGAAAGCATTCCCCTTAAGATTCAGATGAAAATCCAGTTGTCGAATTCTGCTGTTCTCGCAGTCGTAGTCGCATTCGCGATGACAGTCGCAGCGGCAACGGCAGTCGCAGTCACAGCCTCAGCCTCAGCCTGCCTCCTCCTCCTCTTTCTCCTGCTCCTCCTCCTCCTCCTCCTCCTCCTCTTCCTCCTGCTCGTCGTCGTTCTCGTCCTCCTCGTCTTGCTCGTCCTCCTCCTCCTGGTGCTCTCTCCTCCTCCTCCTCCTCCTCCTCCTCCTCCTCCTCCTCCTCCTCCTCCTGGTGGTCCTCGTTCTCCTCCTCCTGGTGCTCTCCCCCCCCCTCCTCCTCCTCGTCCTCCTCCTCCTCCTCCTCCTCGTCCTCCTCCTCCTCCTCCTCCTCCTCCTCCTCCTCCTCCTCCTCCTCCTCCTCCTCCTCCTGGTAGTCCTCCCCCTCCCCTCCTCCTCCTCCTCCTCCTCTTCCTGGTCGCCCTCGTTCTCGTCCTCCTCGTCTTGCTCGTCCTCCTCCTCCTGGTGTTCTCTTTTTTTTTCCTATTCCACTCCCCCTTTCCCCCCCCCCCCCCTTTTCCCCCCCCCCCTCCTCTTCCTCCTCCTCTCTCCTCCTCCTCCTCCTCCTGGTGTCCCTCGTTCTCCTACTCCTGGTACTCTCCCCCCCCTCCTCCTCCTCCTCCTCGTCCTCGTCCTCCTCCTCCTCCTCCTCCTCCCCTCTCCCCTCTCCCCTCTCTCCTCTTCCTCCTCCTCCTGGTACTCCTCCACCTCCCCTCCTCCTCCTCCTCCTCCTCTTCCTGGTCGTCCTCCTCCTCCTGGTCGTCCTCCTCCTCCTGCTCGTCCTCCTCCTCCTCCTGCTCGTCCTTCTTCTCCTGATCCTCCTGCTCCTCGTCCTGCTCCTGCTCGTCCTCGTCCTCCTGGTCTTGCTCGTCCTCCTCCTCGTCGTGCTCTTGCCCCTGCTGAAAATGTGGCCCAGGAATGGGAGTTCTGGGAAGTCGAAGAGCACGAAGTTGCCTACAGTTGGCTACGGGCATTCAAAATGTGGCCCGGGAATAAAGTTCTGGGAACTCGAAGAGCACGAAGTGGCCTACAGTTGGCTCCGGGCATTCAAAATGTGGCCCGGGAATGGAGTTCTGGGAACTCGAAGAGCACGAAGTGGCCTACAGTTGGCTCCGAAAAGAGCACGAAGTGTGTGACTGTTGCATCGGCCCTCCAGAATGTGGCCCGGGAATGGCGTTCTGGGAACTCGAAGAGCACGAAGTGTGTGACTGTTGCATCCGGTTATTCTAAATGTGGCCCTGGGAATGGCGTTCTGGGATCTCGAAGAGCACGAAGTGTGTGACTGTTGCATCCGGGTATTCAGAATGAGCCTGGGAATGGAGTTCTGGGAAGTCGAAGAGCACGAAGTGTGTGACTGTTGGTGAAAAACGAGCCCGGCACCTGCCGCCCGGCAACTCCCAACACCTGCCCGGACCCCCCTGTGGAGTGATCTGCTGCTCTCTTTTGATCCACTAGAAACCTATCAGTCTTCGCTGTTAGGTAAAAGGCTGCTAAGACCAAGGCTCCCATCAGAGAGCGTGACCTAACAAGTTTTTCTGACCGCCCAAGAAAACGCTAGAAAAAAATTAACCGCCAGCAACCTAACAGCGGCTGTAGGAGATAGGGGGAGCGTCCCCTAAGATTCAGACGAACGGTGGTGTGAGTCATTTCGGTTTCTGTTGCTGCAGCGTTCTTTCCGTTTCTGTGCCGGGCCCAGGGTAACGGAGAGCGAGGTACGGATGACGTTTTGGTGTGGGCGAAACCCTTTAGGGGGAGTGCAGAGGGGGGCGAGGGTTGCCCAACTGCGTGTTAATGGCCGTTTTCGGGTTTTCCCTCGGCTTTTTGCATGTTTTTCGGGTTCCCCCCCAAGACGGCCCAAGAGCGCTCCAAGAGAGCCCAAGACCGCCCAAGACGCCCCAAGAGGCCCCCAAGAGGCTCCCAAAAGGCCCCCAAAACGGCCCAAGAGGGCGCCAAGACGGCCCAAGAGGCGCCCAAGACGGCCCAAGGGGGCCCCAAGAGGGGGACCACGAACCGAAAAGTCTAGCCTTTCGCCCCAAGAAGCTCCGAGGAGGCCCCCAGAGCCCCCCAAGAAGCCCCAAGAGGCCCCCAAGAGGTTCCCAAGAAGACCTAAAGGGCCCGACAAGAGCCCCAATAGGACTCCCAAGAAGGCCCAGAGACGCCAAATAGAGAGCGATCGGTAACACAAAAAGCTCTTCACACCAAGGCTCCCAAGAGAGAACGGTGACGTAAACAAGCTGATAAGACCAACGCTCCCAGCAGAGAGCGGTGACGTAACAAGTTCCTGACACCAAGGCCCAGCCAAGGCTCAGGAACGGGCGGCAACGCAACAATCTCTGAACACCAAGGCTCCCAAGAGCGAGGGGTGACGTAACAAGCTCTCAACGCCAAGGCTCCCCGTACGAACGGTGGTGTGAGTAATTTCGGTTTCTGTTTCTGAAGCGCTCTTTCCGTTTCTGTGCCGGGCCAGGTCTAGTGGCCGTCGGTCCGTCCCGCCACCGTGCTTAGGTTGTGGGCCAGAGGCCTCTTGGATGTCTCTTGGTGTCTCTTGCGATGCCTCTCGGGGGCCTCTGCCTGACGGGGACCTCTTAAGGGGGCCCCTGGGGCCTCTCCGGGGCCTCTGGGAGACTTCTTGGAGATCTCTTGGATGGCTCCTTGGGCGTTTCCAGGAAGGTCTTGGGAACATGTTCGAAGTCCTGGGGGCGATTTTGGAAGGGAAGGTTCACGAGCGAGGCATCTTCGCTTTCCCCCTCTTGGATGCACTTTGGGCCGTCTTAGGGCTTCTCATGTCCTCGGGCTGTCTTGTGGGCGTATTGAGCCGTCTTGAGGCGATCTTGAGGGCTTCTTGGGCCGTCACCGTCGGTCCCCCAAATGCGAGAATGCTAAAAGCTGTCCAAACCGTTCGGAATGTACATGACGTTTGCCTATTGTGGCCGTCTTAGGGGCCCTCTTGTGGCCCTCTTGAGCCATCCTGGGGGCTTCTTGGGTTGCCTCGACGCCGTCTTGGAGCGCTTTTGGGGCACTCTTGGGACCCTGTGGGCACATCTTTACGCCTTGTGGCCTCATGATAAATCATGCGGGA